GCCCATGTCAGTTAATGCACTAGTCAACTTCAAATTCCACTGTCTGGGAGCTTGTTTGAGCCCATACAGTGACTTATGAAGTCTGCAGACCTTCTGTAACTCCCCCTGGCTAGCAAAGCCATCTGGAATATGCATGTACACCTCTTCAAGGAGATCACCTTGAAGAAAGGCATTATGGACATCCATCTGAAAGATGGACCACCCAGATGCTGCAGCTAAAGCCACCACAGACCTAACAGTTACCATCTTAGCAACAGGAGAAAATGTCTCCTTATAATCTAGACCTTCAAGTTGACTATATCCTTTGGCAACTAGTCTAGCCTTATACCTTTCCACTTCACCAGTAGATTTGTATTTAACTTTGAAGACCCATTTGCACCCTATAGGAGTCTTACCAGGTGGAAGATCAACAATAGACCAAGTCTGATTAGCTTCTAAGGCTGAAATTTCAGCTTTCATAGCCTCAATCCACTTGGGATCTGTCTTGGCCTCAGCATAAGTCATTGGTTCAGGTACAACTGAATAAGCTGCAAGTGATGCCCTGCAGGTGGAAGAAATTGCATCATAGGAAACACATTGTGAGATTGGGTGAGCACAGGAAGAGGACTTAGACATCACAATATAATCATCCATCCAAATTGGAGGTTTAGTCACCCGAGAAGACCTTCTTAGATCAGTAGGAACAGGTGGAGGTAAAGAAGGAGAAGAAGAAGAATGAGAGGTAGGAGAAGATGAGGAAGGAGAAAGATCAGAAGGGATTGAAAAAGAAGGAAGGAAATGAGAAGGGGAAGCAGGAACATTTAGGGAAGGCTGAGAAGAAAGAGAGGGTGAAGATTGAGTCAGGACATTAGTAGAAGAAGTAGAAGACAAATTTGGACACTCAGCATTGCTGAACTCCAGAACTGGGAATAGGTGAGATGTAGTTGTATGTAGGTGTCTGAAAGGAAAGATATCTTCTTTGAATACAGTATCTCTGCTAACAAAGAATTGTTTGGAACTCAGATCATATAGAACATAGCCCTTTTGATTGGAGGAATAGCCTAAATGAACAGCCGGAATGGCTCTAGGGCAGAACTTATCAGTTTTCTTCAAATTGGTTGCATAACAAAGACTTCCAAAGACTCTGAGATGTTGCAAGGAAGGAGGCTTGTGAAACAGCCTTTCAAAAGGAGATATACCCTTCAATAGAACAGTGGGCAACCTATTTAGAATGTAGACAGCAGTTGTAACACACTCTCCCCAAAACCTTAAAGGGACACAAGCCTGGAACCTTAGGGCTCTAGCCATATCAAGGATTGATCTATGTCTCCTTTCAACTCTGCCATTCTGTTGTGGAGTATATACACAAGAACTCTGATGAATTATTCCATGTTCTTGTAGAAGTCTTGTCACCTGATTGTTAAAAAATTCTGTGCCATTGTCTGTCCTTAAACATTTGATGCTGCATTGAAACTGATTCTTCACTAATAACAGGAAGTTTTTCAGAATCACAATAGATTCAGCTTTATCATTCATCAAGAAAAGCCAAATAAACCTTGAGTAGTCATCCACTAGAGTCATAAAGTATCTCCTACCATTGTGAGTAGGAACTCTATATGGCCCCCAAACATCAGCATGTATGAGATCAAATGCATTAATAGAGCATGAACTACTAGAAGAGAAAGAGATTCTTGTTTGTTTAGTAACAGGACACACTGTACAGAAATGATCCTTCAATTGAACATTTTGTAAGCTTTCTATTCTGTTTAGAACCCTTAGTGGTGCATGACCCAATCTTTTGTGCCATAAAGCAATTTCATCTCTACAATCAGACACATTCTTATTTGTAATGCTCACATTATTTGTTTGCAAGTCACTACTAGTAGTATTTACATAAGAACTTGAACAAGATTGCCTTGAATCCAGCAGCTGCTTGGGAACATCTGACTCCTTTTGCTTCAGAATGTAGAGCCCATGCTCCTCCTTACCAATCCCCATCACCTTCCCAGTGAAGAGCTCCTGAAATATGCAGAAATCAGGGAAGAAGGCCACTAGACATCTTAGCTCTTTTGTGATTTTGGACACTGACATCAGATTGAACTTGAAATCTGGAATATAGAGAACATGATGTATTGATTTATCCTTAAACACTGATAGATCACCAGTGTGACTGATAACAACCATTTCACCATTAGGAAGTTGAACTGAATTTTGATCAATATCTGACAGCTTTCTAATATTGCTCAGTAGATTCAAATTGTGAGCCATATGATTGTAGCACCTGTATCTATAATCCAATTATTACTCACTAGGTGAGACATGAGAGCTGTTATAGTACTTGTAGAGTTAGCCATAGTATCAACCTGCTTTCCTTTGTTCAGCATTTGCAGGATTTGATTGTATTGATCCTGAGTAAAGAAAGGTGCTGCAGAGACACCTGTTGTTGCTGGAGGATTGTCAGTTGTTGTACCATATGTTGAGTTCACATTCACATCAACAGCATTTCCTTGTTGAGATGAATCAGATGCTATGCTAGCAGTGTGAGCATATGCACCTCTGGAATCAAGGTTACCTCCTCCTCCTTTCCTGCCTCTAAAATCAGTGGGATATCCATGGAGTTTGTAACAATTTTCTTTAGTGTGACCTTTAAGATGGCAGAAGTCACATTGCAGAGGGGATCTTCCAGGATTGTTTCTGGGCTTATAACCTCTATTGTAACCACCAATAGGGGCTCTATTACTTAACAGGGCTGTGGGCTCATTAACACCAGTAGCAACATTATTCCTTCTCTGACTTTCCACATTAATGATCATTGCATATGCCTGATTTATATTAGGTACTGGTCTGGTCATTAGAATCTGATCCTTTACATTATCAAATGTATCATTTAAACCAGTAAGAAATTGATACAGCTTTCCAAGTTGATAATGTTCTGCATTTTTCCTAGATTCTGGACAACCACATGAAGGAGGAGGAACTAAAGCCTCATACTCATCCCACAACTCTCTCAGTTTTGAAAAATATTCAGAAACTGACAATAGACCTTGTGATAGTTTGCCAATTTCCTTGTGTAGATAGAAGGATCTAGATGCATTCACTTTATCAAATCTCTCACGAAGGTCTTCCCAAACCTTGTGAGCATCAGAAGCATATATCACAGAACTAAGCAAGTTTGGAGACACAGTGTTCATTATCCAAGCTAATACAATAGCATTACACATATCCCATAGCTCGTGAAGACTGGGATCAAACATTTGTCTCCTACAAGTTCCTAGCACAAAGCCTAATTTGTTCTTACCATGCAGAATAATCTTCATAGATCTACTCCAAAGCGAATAATTCTCAGGACCTTGAAGTTGAATTGAGATGAGAACTGTACCTTGTGTGTCTGATGGGTGAATGTAGAGCGGATGATGGTGATGAACCAGATCTACATTCTGATCTGGTGTAGAGACAGCTGGATTAGTTGGAGTAGAGGAAGTTCCATCAACAGCCATTGAAATCGACGATACAGAGGGATTATTTCTGTAGATTACAGATCCAAGTACAGAACTGAATCGAGCTGGAATTGAGCTCAACTCGTGTGAGAATTTGCTAAGCTTTTCTTCACCTCAATCCTTTTCCTAATTGCCCGATACAGGAGCTTCGCCTAAGCTCTGATACCATGAAAATGGAGGTCAACTATGGAGGAGCATTTGAGAGAAAACAGACGAGTGAGAGAAGCAGTAACTGATTTCTCATTAATCAGTCAAAAATTACAGAAGTATCTAGAAGAAGGAGGTATTTATACCCATGTGTCTAAAACTAACTAACTAACTTAACTTAATACTACACTAATGACACCTCATTAACAACTGGACCCACATCTATGTTACTACACTGACTACCATACTACTAGCCTCAACAAATGAAGACACACTTTAGTACAAAAATGTTCAGATCAATGATTTTCTATGCCATTGTTAAAGTGCAGAATGGATCGGATCGGAACGGATCGGATTTGGCACTTTTCGGATTATAATTTCGGATTTTGGATGGGCAAAAATATATATTTTGGGTTTCGGATAGGATATAAATTAAGAGCCCATTTGGCTTAGCTGATTTAGAGTAGCTGATAAGCATTAGGTGCTGATAAGCATTAGGTGCTGATAAGCACTTTTACGTGCTGAAACTGATTTAAAAAATAAGCAGTTACGTGTTTGGATAAAAGTGCTGAAATTAATAATATGCAGCTGAAGAATTGGGTATACGAAGAGTTTTGTTTTAAAAAAGAAGTATTTTAGGGATAAATAGTAAATATTTTGGTCAAACTTAAAGTGCTTATAAGCTGAAATTTGATAAGTTGGGGGAGACCAACTTATGGCTTTTGGCTTATTTTTGGCTTATAAGCACTTTTAATTTTACCAAACGCGTAGATAAGCCAAAAAGTGCTTATAAGCCAGTTTGACCAGCTTATAAGCTTAGCCAAACACCCTCTAAGCCAATCCGTATCCGATATCCAAAACAATTAAATTAAAGATCCGAAATTCGATCCAAAGCTAAATTCGATCCAATCCAAACCAGAACTAATCGGTTCGGATATTCGGGTTGACCCAAATAACGCACAGCCCTATGCATTACTCAAAGTCAAGTTCTTTTAGTTAAAACTAGTCGAACTAAGTTATTTTTGAACTAGTCCTTTCTGAATTATTGAATGTTTAAAGAATAAAAGGCAGTTCAATGCACTAAGCTTTTATATGAGCAGCGCCCGGAGCTCGAAAAGAATCAAACAACATCGAGTGTATACTTATCGTTGCAACAAAACTCTCCTTTCCGACGTTTAAAGAATGACAAGTAAACCGTTAATCAAGCATCGTTTAGATATAATCCCTTATAAACTAGTCACTAATCCTCATAATCCTGCTTTAGGCATCTATGGCCAGCACGACCAATTTTTACAGAGATTATTTCTTGAGGTAGGAACAGAAGCAATTTTGGATGTTTAACTTATAACTGATCCTACAAATAAAGAAACATTAAAGGAGATCCAACTAAACATTAGTGTAGACTTCAAGAAAAGTTGCATACAATAATAGTGAAATTACACTAAAAACCAATGGAATACTATTAATGTACAATTGTACAGAATACATTTGATTCTTAATGTACATAACCCTATGTGAATGAAATAACCAACAGAAACTAAATGATCCCTACGGCGTCTGTTCGACTGCTTTATTCCTGAATAATTTACAAATGCCAGTCCACCCAGTCACAAATCAGTGAGTCTAAGCGAGTTAACGAGAAACAGAACGAATCCTTTTTACATGTTTCTCGACGTGTTCTTCATGTTCCTAATATAATATAATTTTTAAATCTTGACAATTCGACGAATTCTTTAAGCGCCGACTTTCTGCGCTTTAGTATCCACAATCTTCAAAGGTTCAACGTGTTGTTTCCCCTGTTGCTGAGACCAGTAAGCATGGGCAGCTAAGACCCTGTCCAGAAGATCCTGAGGCACCGGCTCTCCCCTTCGTTGTTGCGGGGCAATGCTTGCTGTATGTACTAATGTCTTCCATTTATCCTAATATAAACCAAAGCACCCCACATCACATGGATGATGGGAACAATTATTAGCTTTGCTAAATATAGATTAAAAACTAATGAGATCTATGCCTATCTAGAAGTACAACTCATATGTCTCCTTTTGCTTCTAGTCAATCATTTAGAGCTGTCATAAGATTCACTAAGCCATATGAGCAACAATTTACAATATAATAAAACTATGGGATCATCAAAACACGTGAAGCATCTTGTCATATGGCAAGAGACCTACTTCTCATGCTGAAAAAATTATCTAAGACGTGTGGTTTCTAAGTCCAGACAATAATGAGACCATGACCTTGATTTGCTAAGATCAATATGTGACAAACATCATAGATGTTTAAAAGAAAAAAAAACTCATTTTTCCCAAGAACTGGCATAGCATCCATGTAAAAGGAACATATGCTCTTACTGCATCAAAATACAGAAACAATTGTGGCAATAAGATGTCTAACCTTCAAGTCAACATAAGTTCGGTGATCAGCATCCTCAAAAGCACGCATTTTGACATCACGCCACCTGCATTATCAGAGATGATTAAAAACTCAGTTCCCTAGTGGACAACAAAATTCGAACTGCTTCGCTGCAAAGAGGATTTAAATTTCCTATACCTTCCTGTTCCAAGATGCTCCACAGCTTCAACAAGCGCTTCTACCTCTGCAACTGAGAATGGTCTCCGTATTCTACGCTGTGAAAGTTCAGAACGTTTGCTTTTCTGGTTCAGAGGAACCATAGCCAGTGCCTCCGGGTTAACCGGAGGAACTATGACCAAAGCTCTAGAATCCGGAACAGCTACATCAGTTGATGGATCGACAGGATTTATAGGAGATAGATCTGCTTGATGGTTATTGTCATTGTGCTTGTCCAACTTAGTCTCTGGAGGATCTGATGAAGCATTGGTAATCCCCAATTCTGAGATAGGACTGGATCGTCGCCTGAGTATAACAATATTAATTAGTCTGAACACAACCAATAATTATCGTCAAAAGTTATCGCAACAAATGATCTTTTCTTTATTAACTGTCTAAACCATAATTATGCAAAAGCATATATATGCTCAACTCTTCCACCATACCTAGTTAGATCCTGATCTGCAACATATGTCGATGAAGAAGCAACATCATTAGGAGATAATGATGGACAAACTTGGGTGAATTTAGGCTCCAAAGTAAAGCCCAAATTATCGAGGTTGCCGTTCCGGGAAATACCAGCCTGCTCTAGAGTTCTATTGTCATCTCTCACCTTCTTTCCCTGGAGAACCATCCCCACCCGCAATCCACTTTCGAGTATAGCTGTGACTGCCTCCATCACTGTTCTCTGCATAAAAGAAAATTATCATAGTGTTGAGAACTTCAAATTATACAATACAGAAAACTTTCAACATCACTATAAATCAAAATATTTTCAGCTGCTAAAGTTATCATTCCTCGATTTTAAAGCTTTCTGCATATCACAGAATTCTTAAGTCCACCACTAGAGAAAGTAATAGAACATTTGGTGCACACGGATGCACAGAATGTTTAGGGATAAAGAAAAAGGAAACAGAAAATGAAAGAGGAAGAAATACCTTCAATGAGCCAACAGTTGCAGTTTCAGGAACCTCTATGTAAAGCTCTGGCACCTTGAAGGACTTAATGCTAAATTTTACTGGAAGGATAAATTGGACCAATGTCAAAAGTCTTAGAAGGAAAAATATGACAATCCAGAAAGAAAGAAATGTATGGTATCAACGTAATTAATTGAAAACATAAACGAAATCCAAAATCCCTTACCATTAGGATCCTTCTTGTGATGATTTTTGACTATGACTGAATCTGCAGTAACTGTAAAGCAACACAGAATATTACTTAGTATGATAACATAAACCACTGGGACCTTCAATTGCAAGGTTGATAATAAAATATTGACCTCTTGGGATGGCATGAGAGGTACTAATGTCTCGCTTAATTCCCTTTTCAGGTGAATTTGAAATGCTTTCACTACTGGCCTCCTGGTAATATGCAAAAGCAAAGCCATGGTCGCTCAATTTCCTTCTCTTGGAAGGAACTTCAGGTTGGTATCTCTTGCGTGCACGTACGCTTTTCCTATTGACGTAAAAGGACTCCACTCCACCGTCTAAAACACCAAATCCATGTAGTTAGAAAATCACATGAAAAGACGACAGAAATAAGTATAAGAAAAGCTTATGCTGATAAAATCTCAGAGGTATAGCCTCCACTTACTCGTGTAAGAACGCTCATATTCCTTCAACTTAGGAGCAACTTTCCAGCGCCGAGATGTCAGCATCTTCCTTATGCTTCTGTATCCAATTCGTGATGTTGTCCTAAAGGTCCTTAACTTAGTGCTATATCTATAGCAGCCAAAAGAGTTGTCGTCATCATCTCTAACACCTAAGTTTACACTGTTCCTTTGCTTTACAAAAGAAGCTCTAGGAATCAAATCCCTATACAAGGATAACTGTACACTACTCTCTGGGTTAATTAAGGCATTGTTATTAACATGTTTTTCAATTGGACCCTTTACACTGCAAGTGTTAGTCACAGTTAAGTTGTCAATCTGCTTGCTGTCATCATCTAACTGTTTTTGAGTTCCTGAGATTTTACTATCAAAGTCTTCAACTTTAGCGGGGAGATTTCCGTCAGCTACATTGACCTCCTTGCAGTTTTCCAATGTCACGTCAGAGTCAGAACCTATAACAGTAGAAGTATGCTCCAAGATGGAACTATTTTCTGCATAATAAGGTTTATCGAGATCATATTTTAGATTCTGCTCTCGGGCTGCAGGTTCTGGTATATAAGCGCTTTCTACACAACTCCCCTGGTCGAGGCACTCTGATTTCACAGCTTTATCTTCTTCCACTTGTTCACATTTAATACCATCCCTGCAATCAGAAAGCTCGTATTTTCCTTCTGCTACATTACTAGAAGTAGAGCTTTCGCTCTCCTGTAAAAGCTTCCCAGCAACAGCCGCCAATAATTCAAATGCACAAATTTGATCATCGTCAAATTTTTTACAGGAACCTCTCCTCTGAAATAAATCAGAATCGCAGAACATACTTAGCAAAATCATACATAAATAAGACTTCAATTAGACAATTTAACAGTTTCAGTATCCTTACTCTAACTGATCTGGGAGCTTTAGGTATAAATGGAACGTGAAAGCCATTGAAACCAAAATCTAGCTTCTTCTTAGACACCATATCTCAGGAAGCATGCCAACAAGTGATGATCCAAAAGCAATTAGCCAATTTACAAATTTCACCGCGATCTACACAAGAAAAGAAAGTAAGTTATTAATCATACCATAAAGCATTGACCAAAAGCAGATATGTACATCATTCCAAAGTTAGAAAATTAAGAGCATTAAATGACTAAAATACAAAAAGGCACAGCAAAAAATGTAATTTTTCTAAATGAAGCAAACACATTTTCTCCAATACACTGTTAGCTGATTGACAAACACAAGGAAAACATACGTCTAGACGAACAATCATACAATATACTATATGCAGAACCTAAGATCCTTCCAGTACACAAATCACAAGTATATGCTAAAATGCTTATTATAGAACCAAAAAAAAACGAAAAAAATTAACTCTTTTGTTCATAAAGATGAATGAAATAACAGAAAAACTAAAAAATTCTACAGAATTCTAAGTAAAATATTTCATGCCTTTTAAGAGATCCAGCTCTATAGGCCAACTTCTAGTTAGCAATAATTCAATCGAACAGCTGGTCAATTACTCTAATTTCTCTTTCGAGTTCCATAATCTGGAGGATATAAGCGTATAACTCTCTCTCACTTACATCAATTATTACACAACCAAACTGAAAAACAAAAGAAATTCAGCAAATCCGATCAGATCTTCACGTGATAAACCTGAATTTCACCACAAAATTCAACCAATTCTCATCATCCGAATCACACATCAAACTCTTATTCAAAACAGCAACAAAAATCGCATCAGAAAATTGTCAAAAACTGCCACCTACCGCAAGAATATTTCAATATAACTCAAAGCAAGCAAAAGAAAAAGGAAGAAGAAGAACATAACATGGAATAAAACGAATTACCAGAGTAGAAATCTACGTATTGTGTAGGAGAATTTCGAATTCAAGCCATGAATTAATTGCAAAAAATGGAAGAATATACTTATTTATTACTTTTATTTACTTTTTTGGTGGGTAAGTAAAGTGAAAGTGAAATTGTGGACAGGATTGAAAAACCTCTGGGTTTGGTAACTGCTAAAACCCCTTTTGTACTCTTTTTATAGTTGGTGTGTCTTATTGACCATAAATAAATTTAAAAATAAAAAATAAAAAAAATAAATTGGACCACCTATTTAAAAGGGTAATATTGTCCAATAAGTTAGAAGGTGTAGACCAACTATATCTTAACCCCTTTTGTTTCGCTCACCACCACTATTCTCTCATCATCCCCATCTCTTTACCTAGTACAGGTTCTACCTTCTACCACGTGGATATTTTTGTATGTGTTTATACCTTATTTGGTAGAAGAAAAAAATAATATTTAAAAAAAAATATTTGAAAACTCAATTTTAATAAAGGTATACAGCAATAACAATAAACAAAGTAAAATCTCATAAATGGAATCTAGGAGAAATAGTGTGTTGCAGATCTTAACCCTACCTTATAAAGATAGAGAAGTTATTTTCAATGAACTATCGGCTCAAGACAAGCATATTCACATCAGTAATGAAATATCGAATATTGGTTAAATTAACCCTTAGCAAATTAAACGATCAAATCAAAATAGATGGATTGAATAGCACCCAAAGGTGTGGTTTAATGGCCAATAAAGTGGAAGGAGACCCATGCGATTTTTTATTCAAGTTCCACTAAATGTAAAACAAAAATTAGTTGATATATGTCTTGCTAGGCGGAGTTACCTAATTTCTATATTGGTAGGAAAAAGAAAGTAGCTTTCCCAGACCCCACTAGTGAGATTTTACTGGATTGTTGTTGTTATTATATATTGTTGTTGTTATTATATATTGTTGTTCCCATTGCATGTGGCACTATTATTATTTGTGAAGTCGAAGTAATTTTTACAATGGGTAATAACAAAAGTTTGTAAATGTGCGAAAACTAAGCAAATACATTTATGAGGAGTATGACCTAAGATTACCGCTTGGAATTTGGAAGACACACAGATCATATTCATAAAGAAAGTTGTTGAAATTTACAAGTCAAAGTAAAATTTAGAGAGCAAATTGTACAGAGATTTAAGAAAAAGGCAGTCTAGTGCATAAAATATTTTATGTTCATGCGGCGTTTGAAAAAGGACCACATCTCAAAAGTTATACTGTAGACAGTTTACTATAATGCAAGTATTAGTCGCTATTTCACAGCCTAAACTTGTATCTATAGGTCACTGAGAAAAAGCTCTCCTTCAAAATGTACATAAACTTACGAATGAAATTTTCATATAGATGAATTTTACAAGTTGAGGAGAAGGAGGGGAAATAATCGAGTCTCTGGATATGGAATTGCCTCTATTAGGGAGCGTTTTACCCCCTAATGTGGAACTTCTTAGTGTATTATTTGAATTTTGTCGGGCCCATGTAAATACCGGATAGCGAATAAAAAAAAAAAAAAAGATAAAAGCCCATGAGGGCATGACCCCATAAATGAAAGGAAGAAAAGGATAGGAATAAAGATAACGCAAAGGACCACACTTACCAAATTTTGACGCACTCTTTTAGCAATTTTCATATTTATCAATTAGAAAGCAAAACCAAACAATTTCTTACAATAAAAAAGAATGGACAAGAATGACGCTCTCAAAATTTACTGATTTAATTAATCCTATTTATATTGAAACGCTTCACTATTTTCAAAAAAGTAACATAAAAATCTTTCATTAAGAACAGAAGAATTCTGACTATCTTCACATATTATTTCTTGATGAGAAGCAGATAAGTCAATTGGGTACGTCACCATTATTTTATACCATGCCACGTTCATAATTTACGGCCGACTCAAAATTTTGCCTTAAGTCTAATTTATATATTCTAATAATTAATAATAAAACTATTTGCACCGTCGATATATACTATTCAACGTATATTAAGTTATCTTAACTCGTTGGTTTTGGCTTTAAGAGAAATTATTATGTGGATTTAACTGAACTTATCGTGTTCGGCTCAGATTATACGGTAACAAACATATAAGAAGATAACACATGTTTAGAGTTCACTTAATCTAAATGTTAAATTGGAATCGAATCGAATATTTTCGCAGCGAGTATATTTAAAATAAAAAACAAAAGAAAATCACAAAAGGAAGGAGACAACGCATTCATCAAAATGGAAAGCGGAACAGACACGAAAATGAATTTATTAGGGATACGCAGTCTCCTGCCGTACATCTTTTACCATCATTATCTTCTTCATTGTAGTAGTTGAATTGACTTCTCTCTCCATTTCTTCTCCTCATTTTGGTCTTTTACGATAAGGTCTATATATAACCCTCGTTAAAAGTTTGACCCATATCCAACCTTACCATTACACTATTGGCCCGAATACCCCCTGGACTTTACGATAAGGTCTATATATAACCCTTGTTTTTTTAACAAAATACTTTTTTTTTGTAAAAATTGAAAATTATTTGTTGAAAATAATTTCTTCAGTTCTTAAAAAACGAAAATATTTTGTTAAAAAAACGAATTTTTTTTCCTGTTTTTACAACGAAAAAAAATAGGTTTTTTTACAAATTTATTTTTCCAGTTTTTACGAAAAAATCTTTAAAAAAAACTAAAGAATGAAGAAAAAAACATTTTTCAAAGCGAAAATAATTTGTTGAAAATATTTTATTCAGTTTTTAAAAACTAAAAATGTTCTAATTCCTCTGTTTTTACATTTTTTTCATTTTTTACAAATATGTTTTTACAAAAAAAAATATTTTGTTAAAAAAATGATTTTTGCAATTTTTTTAAAGTTTTACAAAAGAATTTAGAACATTTCCAAAAGAAAAGGAAATTTCTTTTTGTGAAACTTTAAAAAAATTGCAAAAATCATTTTTTTAACAAAATATTTTTTTTGTAAAAACAGAGGAATTAGAACATTTTCAGTTTTTAACAAAATATTTTCGTTTTTTAAAAACAGAATAAAATATTTTCAACAAATTATTTTCGCTTTTGACAAATATTTTTTTCTTCATTTTTCAGTTTTTTTAAAGATTTTTTTAAAAAAAATGGAAAAACAAATTTGTAAAAACTGTTTTTTTTTTTGGAAAAACAGAAAAAAAAAATCATTTTTTAACAAAATATTTTCGTTTTTTAAGATCTGAAGAAATTATTTTCAACAAAATATTTACAGTTTTTACAAATATATTTTTACAAAAAAAAAAATTTTATCAAAAAACGAGAGTTATATATAGATCTTATCGTAAAGTCTAGGGGGTATTTGGTTCCGTTTAAAGTCCAGGGGGGGAGGGGGGGGATATCCGGGCCAATAGTGTAACGGCAAGGTTGGATATGGGCCAAACTTTTAACGAGGGTTATATATAGACCTTATCGTAAAGTTCAGGGGGTATTTGGACCTTTTCTGTAAATTGAATTAACTATCAAATTTTTCCTAATTGAATTCTATTACATCGAATTTAGAAGTTTAATTGCACTACTTAATTAACATATGGGAGGAAGAACGAATTAACGACACGTCTTCAAATGAAAAAAATTATCCATGTTCAGTGTATACATCAAACCTATTTTCACTTACTTAAAAATAATTACTTTTATTCTCACATCAATATTTCACTTAACTAAATTTATGTAATTCATTGTCAACAACTAGTGTTATTACTTCTTTGTTTTAGTTTTGTGTGAATCTATTTTTTTGGTCTGTTTCAAAAATAATAAATTTTTATTTAAATTTGAAATAAGTTAACTTAAACTTCTAATTCTATCATTGACGAGAAATTTTTAATAACCACACAAATACTCTGACATGTTTAATACCATAAGTTTCAAAAGAATTATACACACACAAATATTATGGCTTGTTTAAGATCACAATTTTAAAATTTAATTTTTTTCTTAAATTTCTTACGCAACTAAATAGGCTCATATAAATTAAAACGGATGGAGCATAGTTTTTTCCTCTTCAAAACCCATAAAAATACCAATAAATTCATGGTCTATCCCCACCCGAAAAAGGTATAGTTATTGTAGCATAGAATTAGCATATAGTTTCAGACTTTAGGATATTCTCTTCTGTAACTTTGTTTTTCTTTTGATGATATATAACTTAAAATTTAGAGACAAAATGGGACAGCTGGAGCTACGAATACCAATGGAAAAAAAAATTAAAAAAAAAGACTAGTTACGACGGAGTTTGTTCAGCCAATGAAGCAATGGATTTGAAAAAGCATAAACGAATATTTGAGGGTAAAATGCAGAGCTGGCCAATAGTGCATAAGATATATATATATATATATATATATATATATATATATATATATATATAATATATATATATATATATATATATATAATTTGGCTATTATTTTTAAGAACTGTTAAAAATATACATTTCACAATATTTGACGACCTCAATTATAGTTCATGAAAATAGCAGAAAAATGAAAAAGAAAAAGTACAAATGCAGTGTGCCATGCACGCACTATTTTTAAATGTAAAATTAGTACTTACTATACTTTGTTCAATTTCAATTGACATGAGGCAATTTTCAGTCTGATACGTTCTACTATAACAATTGTTAATCTTTTATTAATAAAATTATTCTAAACAAATAATTATCAAGAATTTGAAACCACTTAACCATATTAAATTTAACTTTCAACGACTATCTTAATAATTTATTTCTTTAGTGTACTCATATATTTAATATTTGTATTCAATCAAATTAAGATCATATTATAAAATATGAAAAACGTTTATTTTTAAAGTCTTCATATAACAGAAAAGTTACATCCTCCCACTAAGCCTATAAGCAACTAAGAGAAATGAGTGGACAAAATAAAGTGGCTGTATTGCTTCCTCTCTCTTCATTATCTCATTCCGAATAATAATTAAAAAAAAGTGCACTGACGACGACCAATGTTTACACTGAATCATATTAAGAGTCCTTTTGGTGGAGCGGTAGAAAAATACTTATTTTAAAAAGTTTTTTTGTTCAAATATGCTTTCCGGAAAGTTTACTTTTGGATAGAGCCGTCAATATAGGCTTGGCCCGTTGGGTCAGTCCAGCCCAATCCGT